ACAGCAAACCGCCTGAGACATCCCCACAAAATGGCCGCGAACGAGCCCGTGCAACCACCCCTGGCGGCTCCCCTTAGGGGTGCTGAAACCAGCGCCCCGCTTGAGACATCCTCCAAATCTGATGTGTGTTGAGTAAGTATGAGTATGAGTAGGTCTGAGTATGAGTATGCCTGAGTATGAGTAAGTCTGTGGAGTAAGTCTGTGTATGAGTAAGTCTGGGTATGAGTAGGTCTGTGTATGAGAAAGTCTGTGTATGTGTACGTCTGGGTATGAGTAAGTCTAGTATGAGTAATACTGTGTATAAGTAAGTCTGGGTATGAGTAAGTCTGTGTATGAATACGTCTGGGTGTGAGTAAGTCTCTGTATGAGTAAGTCTGTGTATGAGTATGTCTGAGTGTGAGTAAGTCTGAGTATGAGTAGGTCTGAGTATGAGTAAGTCTGAGTATGAGTAAGTCTGAGTATGAGTAGGTCTGAGTATGAGGAAAGAGGAGGAGGGGAGGAGGAAAGAGGATGAGGGAGAGGCAGTAGGAGGCGTCCAAGTAATAACAAGAACCCCATCTTAGGATATGGGGAAAAAACTCCTGCATCGACCGGCTCACCTCCTCCCAAGCCAGCCAGCTTGCCGGCTGCCGTGCCGACCATCTCACCGACTGGCAGCATCCACCAGCTCGGCACTTCGACCTCCAGCATCCGGCGTCCTACTTCTGACTCCGGCTCACAGACCAGCTCGCCCATTCCAGCGCCGTCCAGCTCGTGGGCAGAAGCCGTGACAAGGACGCGACGCCGTCGGGCGGCACGAGCACGTTGACCAGCGGATTCTGGGAAACGATGCGATACTTCTCGACGGATTGGAGCACCTAACAGCTATCCAGCACTATGCGATCGAGGGCTTACTGCGGTGAGCACCACGTCCAGAATCAGAGTCTCGGAGTCGAGCACTCCCACGGCTTCCACCACGACGGACTCGAGAGCCTCGACGGAGTCCAGCACAACGGGGTCGTGCAGCGCCACGGCCTCCACCACTGCGGGCTCGAGCGCCACCACGGTATCCGCCGCGACGGAGACGCTGCGATATTTACCACGGCGGAGTCGGATACCACGAGCAGCACACTGACTACCATCGACAGCACGGCGAGTGCCATGAGCAGCACGGCAGGCACGGCGAGCTACACGACGCATTCCATGCACGGCACGGCGGATGCCCCGTGCAGAACGACGGTGTGGCCATGAGCGGCGCGACGAGTAACGCCGTCGCGCTGCTCCAACATCCCTTCCGACTCCAAAGCCAGCCCTGACCACAACCGCGACCCCAGCCCCGTGCCTCGCTCCGACCGTTGCTCCAACGCCAGATCCACCGGATTCGCCAGATCATAAACAAGGATGCCGCCACACAGTGGGATGGCCGCGGCATGCTCCAACCGTCACATTCTTCCTGGACTGTCCCATGCGTCTATTTTCACCGATCGCCTCGGCGCAACATATCCGTATTACCACTCATAACTCAACAATTCGACACCGCCACGCTCAACGCAGCAAATCGGCACCACACCACTTGACGCTACAAATCGACACCGCTGCACTCGAAGCAACACATCGATTTCACCACGCCCGACGCCACAACCCGACACCACCACGCGCGCAACAAATCGACACCACCTAGTTCGACGCACACCACAAACTCCTCCACCAGTGCTACCAGCACCGGCTCCAGCACCAGGAGGGCGACGGGCTCCAGCAGCACGACGCTGCGTATCACGTAGCGCGACACTGGTCGTTGATTCCCACATCGACCAGCTTGGCGGCTCCTGCATCGACCAGCTCACCGACTCCTGTGCCAGCCAGCTCGCCGGCTCCATCGCCGACCCGTTCACCGACTCCAACCCGTCCAGCTCACCGACCCCAGCGCCGACCAGTTCGCCGACTCCCGCGTCGACCAGCTCACCTACTCCCGCACCGACCAGCTCGCCGACTCCCGCGTCGATCGGCTCGCCGACTACACCATCAGCGACGCCAGCACCGTCGCCAGTGCCGACGCCAGCATCAATGCCTGCGCTTGGCTGGCACCAGCGCCAGCGCCTGCCCCAGCGACGACGCCAGCACCGACGCCTACAGCAAGACTGAACTGGTGTGCTGCACCAGTCCTGACACCATCGTCGGCTCCTATGCCAGTACCATTGCCAGCGCTTATTCTAGCACCAACGCCAAACTCGACGCCAGCCCAAACGCCGGCGTCCACGCCAGCGCCGACGCCAGCACTGACGCCAGCATCAACGCTTGCGATCGCGCAGGCAACAGCGCAGACGCCTGCACCAGCGACGACGCCAGCACCAACGCCAGCACCAATGCCAACGTATGCCAGCACCTGCGCCAGCGCCTACACTGGCACCGACGCCAGCACCGAGTGCAGCACCAACGCCAGCCAGCACAGCCAGTCAGCCACGGCCGCCTCAGCAGCGCGAGGACCATACGCTGCCTCGGCATCCAGCACTATGGGGCAGGTTGAGTGAGTGAGTGAGTGAGTGAGTGAGTGAGTGAGTGAGTGAGTGAGTGAGTGAGTGAGTAGGTTAGCTCCCTTCGTTATCCTTTGCTTCTTCCCCTCCTTCGCGCTGTCCTCCGCCCCCGCCTGTTTACTGCTTTGCCTTGCATGCCCACTATCAGTTTTAGTTCGTCCTTATTTTCTTTACCCGCGCCGCCCCCTCGTCTGGAGGGGGACGGCGTCCTCCGCCTGGGCGGCGTCAAGGGGCGGTCCGCTCTCGGAGCTTCCCGTCCCCCTGCACCCCCCCTTGTGCGGATCCACAGTCGCTGTAGTCGTTCCTTGCGCGCTCTCGTTCCCTCCCTCCTCCTCGTCCTCCTCCCCCCCCGCAAGATCGTCCAGACCGTTTCGGCGGAAGCTTGAAGCTTGGGCAACGCTGTGGCGGCATTGGTGCCTCCATGATGATGCGAGTGTGCGGCGGCATCCAGGTTTCACGCAAGGGCTGCAGAAGCGAGTGCGTGGCGGCATCCAGTTCGCGCGGTGGAGCAACCATTTTTCACCGATGTGATTTGGGGTGATGTCGTATCGCCATCTACTTGCATGTCGTCTTCATCGATCAAGACGTTTGTATCTTCCTCTGTGTGCATTTGCCAATTCAGGATGATACGTTTTTGTGGAGATTCGTATATTTAGGCAGGTGTGCTCTTTTCTCCCCTTTCTCCCTCTCTGTCCCCGCTCCTTTCCTCCTCCTCTTCCTCTGGTTAAGTCCGCTTGCTTCGGACAGCGAGCGGCCGCTTTGTTGCTTTCTGGCTCTCGCTCTGGACTCGCTCTTTGGCGATGCGGAGGAGTGTGCGCCGCGGTGAAAAATGGACACTGCTAAGTTGAATTTGCGCAGCGCTACGGCAATAGCCACATTTTGAGAACGACCTGAGCCCCATCCGTATAACAGTTGGAAGCGTTTGTGGATAATGTGCACAGCGCGAAGGCGAAAACCACATTTTGACGAGCCACCCTCCATCCCTGAAGATTTCCACATAGATGTGCGAGGCGTTACTTCGAACGCTGCGTGTTGAAATTGCCTGTGCCCCATCCTTGTAGCTGTTGCGAATTTTCAAGACGAAGTTGCTCGGCGTCAGGGCGAGAACTCCAGTCTGAAGACGACCGCCGTCCATCCTTGAAGCTGTTGTGCCTTTCAAGCGTTCAGACTCATAGGTGGTGAGGGAGTCTCAGGCGAAACGCCCGGCCTGTCTTTCCGACATTCCTAGGAGTTAGGGGGAGGTGGGAAGGGCTGGAGGAAGAGGAGGAGGAGGAGGAGGAGGAGGAGGAGGAGGAGGAGGAGGAGGAGGGTATTGACGAGGAGGAAGAGGGGGAAGGGGAGGAGAAGGGGAAGGAGGAGGACAAGTGTAAACCCAAGACTCATCAGCAATGTTGAAATAACCCTCCCTCCAAGATCCTTCTTCACAGGCCCCTGCAAGGGGTCCTTCCATTATGGGATTTGCCCTGTTGGGGGACAACCGTGTGCACATCTTGCAGCGTGTCAAAACACCATTCGGAGGATTTCAACGCCACGAGTTAACCTGATTGCTACGTGTTGGCGACCCTAACCCGTGCCAGAACATGATTCCTGTGACCTGAACACCGCGAATCAACGTAACTGTTGCGCCCTGACAGTCCCGAATCGTTCCAAAGCGCCTCTTCCGGTACGTTAGCCACGAGATTTAGTGAAGCTTTTGAGAATAGTTCAAAACGAATGCGCGCGGCGCTCAGGCTAGAGCCACATTTTGAAAAGGATTCGCCCTCAGCCCGTGAAACTTTTGCACATTTTGAAAACGAAAGTGTGCGGCGCTACGACGAGAGCCACACTTTGAAAACGCCCGCCCTCCATCCGTAAAGGTCTCGCAAATGTTTAAAACGAACATGCGCGGCGCTAAGACGAGAGCCACATTTGAGAATGGCCCGCCCTCAATCCGTGAAGCCCTTGCAGCTTGTGCGCTGTGCTCAGGCGAGAGCCTCATTTTGAAAACGACCCGCCCTCAATCCGTGAAGCTCCTTCAAACTTTTACGAAGAAGGTGCGCGGCGCTGAGACGAGAGCCACATTTTGAAAACGCCCCGCCCTCAATCCGTAAAGGTCTCGCAAATTCTTAAAGCGAACCTGCGCGGCGTTAAGGCGAGAGCCACATTTTGAAAACCACCCGCCCTCAATCCGTGAAGCTTTTGCAACTGTTGAGAACGAATGTGCGCGGCGCTAAGGCGAGAGCTACATTTTCAAAACCACCCGCTCCTCATTTGTAAAACTGTTGTTATTTTCAAAAAGTGCAGGGTGATAAGTGCGAAACGCCCGGCCTACCCTTTCGATTGGCTTCGAGATGCGACAGGGAGGAGTTATCTATATGGTAAAGAAATTGAGGAGTAGGAGGAGGTCGAGAAGGAGCAGGTGGTTTGGGCAGGATTTTCGATGTATCTGATTCTTGCCCCCCCCCCCCCTCCCCGCGTTCGGCGAGCCCGCGGCTATTGTGGTTGGCCCAGGCGTGGGACGGGAGCGAGTTCTGCTTCCAGAGGCCTCGGCCCCTGGTCGTCAAGACGCACTGGGCCCCCAGCGAGGTCAAGTGGGACGGCGGAATGAATGCTGTGGGCTCGACCGCAAAAGTCATCGTGGTGGCCAGGAACCCGAAGGACGCTAACCCCTTCAGTTGGACATTCAGGGCAGCGTGTCCCAAGCTGGTCTGGAAAACTTTTGGCGTCGTCCAAATCTGTTCTTTCCCTACAGAGCTTGTCTGTAAGAGCACCACAGATGTTCTAAGAGACCGATTGCGGGGTGACCGTGATCTGGAACCGGCCGGGCGATATTCTATGCGGTTGTTTCCCTTTGTCTGGCGTTGTCTCCCGTGTCTCGTTGTTTCTCTATGCCTCCCGTTGTCTCTCGCTGTCTCTCGTGGACTCCCGTGGTCTCGTATCGTCTCCCGTTGTCTTCCGTTGTCCGTTGTCACTCAGTGGCTCCGCTTGTCTCTTGGTGTCTCCCGTTGTCTCCTGGTGTCTCCCGTCCCGTTGTTTCCTGGTGTCGTTCTGCGTCGCCCTAGGAGTCTTGTCTATGCCACTCCCTCCGCTAAGGTGTACAGCTGTTTCTGGTCTCATGCCGCACAGGTGTAATCTTACCAGGTGGCCATGAGGCGAGCCTAAAAGCTGGCACAGGGTCAGACAGGCTTGCAGGCTGGCGGCAGGGTGGACAGGCATGCAGAAGGGCAGGACTAGTTGCAGGCAGACAGGCGGGCGGGCGGGCATCCAATTGAGCAGTCACACGGGCAGCCAAGCATCAGACCGCTGATTTTCCAGTAGACTCCGAGGACGCTGTGATCTCGATGTTCAAGCAGAGCCAGCAGTTCTCCCTTGCGGCCTCGAGAGAAGGATTCGAGCCCTTCGTCCGCCTCTTCCTCAGCGGGGGCCTTCCCCTCACGGACCCCAAAGACTTCTGGAAGTTCTACGGGGAATGGTGGGCCGCTGCGGACAGTAATCCCAACGTTCTCTGGGTCTTCTTCGAGGACCTGAAGAAGGACGCATGCAACGAGATCAGGCGGGTTGCGGAGTTCATCGGGGTGGAGGCCGACGACGACCTGATCCGGCGTACCGCGGAGGCCCGGTGGATGGATGGCACGCACCGTGCCCTTGCCAGCACTGCTCCTGCTGCTGGTCGCGGTCTCGTATTTGGTGCTGCATTTGCATGGCTTGCTGATGCCTGCTGCCTGCTGCGCCTGAAGGCTTCTGTTGCTGTTGCTGATGTTTCTGTAACTTCCAAACGTTGCTTATGACTGCGTGGTGCTGCTGGTTCTTGCCGCTGCCGTTTCCCGCCTGTCTGACCTCGTCCTCTTTCTCCTCCTGGTCCTGCTCGTCCTCCTAGCGTTCCTCCTCCCAGCCCTCCCAATTTTCTCCCCCCAACGAGACAAGCAAGGAAGTGCGCAGTCGAGTCGCGTCCGCTGAATCATTAGCTGGCCTGACCCGATGTGGTCGAGAGGAAGGGAGAGGAGTCGGACGTTGATGAGGACGAGCAGCAGATGAGACTGAGGAGGGGGAGGAGGAGGAGGAGGAGGAGGAGGAGGAGGAGGAGGAGGAGGAGGAGGAGGAGGAGGAGGAGGAGGTTGAGGAGGAGGAGGAGGAGGAGGAGGAGGAGGGAGGAGGAGAGGGAGGAGGAGGAAGAAGAGGAAGGGCAGGATCATCGGCTGTACGGGGGTGGAGGGGAAGGGAAGAGAGCGGGGTCAGCGGGGCTTCTCCGATGTTCGAAAGAGCGTGTTCTACCGCTGCTAGCGGAAAACCGGGGGGGGTCACTACCGGTTCGAACCCCTCCCCCCCCCCCCCCTCCTGGAAAACCGGGGGGGTCACTACCGGTTCGAACCCCTCCCCCCCCCCCCCAGTTCATCATGAAAAGGGGGGGGTGTCACTACCCGTTCGAACCCCCCCCCCCCCCCCTCGAGCTCGAAAACCGGGGGGGGTCACTACCGGTTCGAACTCCCCTCCCCCCCTCGCCCCCTCGAAAACCGAGGGGGGGTGCGGACAGTGGTGGGGACGGTGGTGGTGGGGACAGTGGTGAGGGGACAGCGGGACAGTGGTGGGGACAGTGGGACAGTGGTGGGGACGGTAGTGGTGGGGACAATGGTGAGGACAATGGTGGGAACAGTGGGGACAGTGGGACAGTGGTGGGGACGGTGGTGGTGGGGACAGTGGTGTGGGGACAGTGGGAATGTGGTGGAAACAGTAGGACAGTGGAGGGTACAGTGGTGGTGGGGACAGTGGTGAAGGCGGTGGCGAGGACGGCGGTGGGACAATGGGACAGAGGTACAGTGGGGACAGTGGTAGGGACAGTGGGGACAGTGGTGGGAACAGTGGGACAGCTCAGTGGTTCGAACCGGTAGTGACCCCCCCCTCCGGTTTTCGAGGGGGGGGGGTTCGAACCGGTAGTGACCCCCCCCGGTTTTCGAGCTCGAGGGGGGGGGGGGGTAGGGGAGGGGGGGGGGGTTGCCGGGGGAAGGGGGGGGGGGGAGGGGTTCCAGCTGGGGGGGGGATTTTCGGAGGGGTGGGGGGACCCCCGGGTTCCGGAGGAAAAGGGCGGCAATTTTCCACAGTAAAGCGGCGGTGGATCACGCTCTCTCCGATGTTCGCCCTAGTTGGTTCGGGGGGGGGCACCGCCGAGCAGCCCTCCCAGGAGAGGGGGACCTGAAGAGGAGGGGCGATCAGGAGGCCATCTGCTTCATCGCTTCACCCTCCCTCCTCCTCCTCCTCCTCCTCCTCCTCCTCCTCCTCCTCCTCCTCCTCCTCCTCCTCCTCCTCCTCCCTCCTCGCCCTCCTCCTCTCTCATCCCTCCTCCTCCTTGTCCTCCTGCCGGCGGAGGCTCAACAGGGTGCACAATGCAAGCATTCAGTCCTTGAGTTCAACGAGGAAGAAGTCGTGCGTAGGTGGGGGCAGGGAGAGGACCGAGTCTCGTTCACGCGGAGGCGCCTGCTTCATATTGCTGGCCCGTCCCAGGTCTTTCTCATTGCGAAGGTGTTGTTGGCTGTCTCATGGACCCCGTCAGTGCGCGAGGGCCCAAGAGCCCAGGGCCTGTTGGTTGTCGGAGATTCGCGATTGCCTCGAAGAGTTGCAGGCTGTCAAGGTCAAGTCTCACACCACTCTTGCGCAGATGCGTGACGAGGCCATCACCTTCCAGCAAAGGCGAGGGGATGAGCTGGTGGACGGTCTCGCAAAGGACGTTGGCCAGGCCTTCCGTGCTCCCCTCCAAGCCCGTCAGGCTTGCCCAGATGTCCAGGAACTGGCCCGCAGGATGTGTTTGCTCAGCCTCGATGGAGGCTGATCTTTCTGACCAACTGCTGGGCGATCATTTAGATCTGATGTGGTTGAAGTCTGTCTACCTGGAGGCCATTCGAGAGAGAGAAGCTCTGGTAGAGATGGAGCGAGCGGTCGAGCGCAGCGGAGCGCTGGCCTCCTCCCCCTCCTCCCCCTCCTCCCCCTCCTCCGCCTCTTCTTCCTCCTGTGGTGTGGCATCCCCCGTGCATGCACGGGGCTGCTGTGCCCCTCGTTTGTGAGGTGCCGAGCTGCAGATTCGAGGGGGGGCTCTGCCCCTTCCCTCCCAGGGCCGACCGCCACTGCGGACTCTTGTGGAGCGCCGCCGCCGCCTCCTGTGGTGGGCGGGAGTGGGGCGGAGCGGGCGGGGGGGGGGACCTGGACAACGGAAGGCCGCCGCCTGACGCCGCGACGGTGGAATGGCCCTCTCTGCACGTGTGGCCTGTCAGAGGCCATGCGGTGGAGGCGCAGGTCGCGGGCCTGGTCGATCAGCCCCAGGGCTCCTTGGCTCTCTGCTCCAGCTGCGGAGCGACCTGCAGCCTCGGACCTCGGAGGCCACTG